CCCGAGCCGCCGCCGCCGCCTCCTCGCCCGCTGCCATCCCCGGGCTTCCCCGCCGCCTTCCTCCTCCTCCTCCTCCTCCTTCCGCCCCCCACCACCGCCGCGGGCCCTGACGTCGGCTCCCGCCCGGCCCCTCCGGCCCGCCCCCGGCCGCTCCTCCTCGGCACGGCCCCGACGGGGCGGGAGCAGCGCTACCACCGCCCTCCGGCACCGCCCGGCCCGGCTCTCTGCAGCCGGGTCTCGGTGTCCATTCGTGGAACACCGGAGGAAGGCACCTCCAGGTTAAAGGAGCCCCACTGAGGTAGTGGTGCTAGCATAGCACTCGTACCAGCAGCCTTTCCTGCTCGAGGCGCAGCCTGGGGTCTCCCCAGGAGCTCCTGACGCGTTAGGAGGATGCTGGGAGGGTCGTGTACCCGCAGCTGGTCCGAGCCCTTCCTGGTGAGGGTCCACCTTGGAGCTCCTGATATGTGCCAGGAGGATGCTGAGCGCTGAGATGAGGCAGTGCCTGCTGCCAGCAGCATCCGAGCAACGAACCAAGTGGCACAAACCATCCCACGCACTGCAAGGAGCTGCTTCTCAGCCAGCAAGAAGTGAGCCTCAAAAGCACCGAATAGTGGGAGCCGCCCTATCCCAGCCCGTGTGCTGGGCTTATGGCCATCAGCATCCCCATGCTGGTGGTGCTCTGACGATAACACCTGGCACAATGACACTCTGATGGTGACACCTGGCTTGTTATCAGTGACAGTGACACCTGGCTTGGTGCACAGTGCTTTGCTCTCCATGCCTCATACAGGAATGGCATTTCCCTTTCGTCACAGCAGGGAGATGTGGGTGACTCAGGGTGGTGATTCACAGCCCGTGTCCCTTGTTGCTACCTGGCTGTGGCCCAGCAGGAAGAAAGCACCCTATTCATTTACGTACGATCCCAGGAAGTGTCGCAACAGCCGCCTCCTCCATCCCCAGAGTGGCTGCTCCTGTCCCCATGGTGGCTGCTCCCATGGGGAGGGCTTTGGGGCTCCTCCTGGCACAGCCTCCCCTTGGGGACGGTGGGGCAGAGAGTCCCAAAACACCCCTCTGGGCCGTGGGGCCAATGACAGAAGTGACACTGGAGCCCAGATGAGGACAGTGCCCGGTAATGCCCTGTCCCATGCTGGAGAGTCAGCCCATCCCCAGTGCTGAGACCTTCTACAGGAGGTAGAGGAGGAGGGGGGGGTGCAGTGAGCAACTGATTTATGTGTGGCGACAGATAATTACAGCCCTTCCATCACCTGTCATGCAGACGGCCCAGCAGAGCTTTACACCGCATTTCTGGCTGCCCATCCCAACCCATAAATCTCCCCAATGCAAAGTGATAAATCAGGGGGGCTGGGGGAGCAGCCCCAGGCAGGTGTCCTTCCCCACCTGCCCACCCAGTAATGGGCAGGTAGATAGGAAATGTCCAGGACGAGGTGGGGACACCCGGCGGGCTGTGCTAATTACAGGCAGCAGGTGGCATCCGACGAGCTGTGATTTATGGGCCGGTCCTTCCGAGAGCTGGGGCTGAGTCCCTGCAGGGCTGGGGCCAGCAAAGCTTCATGGCTATTCCTGGGGCTCTGGGTAGGATGAGGGTATGACAGGGGCCATGGGCACATCTATGTGCTCAGCCCTGTGTCAGCTCTGTGTGCATGGCTCAACTTCCTGCACCAACAAAGCATCCCCATGGCATCACAGAATGGCATTTCTCTAAGTCTCTGGCATGAAATCACCCCCCGGAAAATTAAATCGCTTTTTGTTCCTGAACTGGGCCTGCAGCTTGAAGGGACTGGGGGACCAGAAGGCCACTGGGAGAACAAGAGGGTTATGGTGAGCACAGGTGGGTGCTCAGAGCTATTTGCAAGCTTCATTTCCCTTTGAAGTCCCACTGCCTCATCCTCCCCGCTCCCCCAGGCTCTGGCTCCTGATTTATGGGGTTTCTGAAGCAGAGGCACCTAAATTAGCTCCCACTTCAAAGAGCCAAAAGAGGAGAAGGGCAACAGACAAATAGCCTCGCTAATTGTAGCCATTGATCAACCCCACTGCGGGATGATCAGATAAGAAGGGATGGATAAAGGGGACCATGTTCTCCCAGGGCTTGGCTTCTGCACCAGTAGCCCCAACAATTTGTCACAATGACTCTCCAGGGCCATTTTTCAAATCATTTGTTACCCCATATGCAGGAGGGCATTTAGCAGCTGCTTTCTAATGAAAAGGTGGGCAAAGGGGCAGGGAATGCAACTGCAAGCAGCCTGGCCCTCCTGATGACCTCCATCCCATGGCTTGGAGACCGATGGGGAATAAGGAGATTTAGGAAACAAGCTGTGGGAAACAAGGAAATCTGGGGCACGAGGAGCCTCATCATCTCCACCAACAAGGGTAAATATGAGGCAGGCCCAGCAGTGCTCCCAGCAGCAGGAAGGAGGGAGGCAGACAGCACTCCAGCTCCTTTGCCACCTGCCCAGTGTTGTGGCACTGAGGGACGAGGTTATTGAGCATGGTGGGGGTGGTCTGGGGCTGGACTTGGGGATCTGAGAGGTCTCTAAATGGGAGCATCCCCTGGGCAGGGCCAGCACCTGGGGGCTGGGATGGAGCCACGTGACAGCGGTGGGGTTTTTAGGGCTGGCTGCCTGACCTCAGAGCAGTGTGTGGCAGACCCGGGGAAGGCAGGACCACAACAGCACCTCGCCCCCATCCTGCTCACCACAGCCATGTCCCGAGCAGCTGCAGCACGGCTGGGAGAGCCTGATGGCTCAGAGGAGGAGCTGGAGGTGGGGGCAGCACCGCGAGCATGCTGCAGGCAGAAAATGTGGGTTCCTAAGGGGAGGAATACAACCACCTGTCTGGAGGACACCGAGGAGATGAAGGTGAGGAAGAGGAGCAGGCCGGCACGCTCCAAGGCCAGGAGGATGGCAGCCAACGTGCGGGAGCGCAAGAGGATCCTGGACTACAACCAAGCCTTCAACGCCCTGCGGCTGGCCCTCAAGCACGACCTCGGAGGCAAGAGGCTCTCCAAAATCGCCACCCTCCGGAGAGCCATCCACCGCATCGCCGCTCTGTCCCTGTCCTTGCACTGCTGGCCCTGCACCCACTCCGAGTGCCGCAGGCAGGGCGTGCGGGACGGCCGCCTCGTGCCCCCCAGTGCTGTGGGTTATGGCTGCTATCCTCCTGAGAGCCAACTCCAGTGCTACGAGAGCCCGCAGGAGGATCGCCCAGCAGCCAGCCCTGGGTTTTACCCCGTGGGGAATCAGCAGAAGCACGCAAGCAACTCGCAAGCCCTCCCGCTTGCACCGCTCCCCTGGCAGCTGGGGGGGTTGCAGAGCTCTGGCTTCCAATGCTTCCCCATCCACTGAACCACAGAGCAGGGAGGGTGAGATGGTGCTGGGAAGGTAACAAAGCGGGGAGTGGGATGGGACTGTGTGGGAGCAGTGGGACATGGAGCTCAGCTGAGGTGCCGTGAGCCCAGCAAAGCCTGGGAACTCAGCTGGGAAGCGTGGAGGAGGTGGCTTTGTGCTCGAGGAAGGGCCAGCTCCACAGTTTCTTTTCCTGTGAGGTTTCTCTTCTGGAAATTGTGACCATTATTTATTCTCTTTTGCTTGCTTTGTGAGAAAACATGACTTAAAAACCCAGCATTGGGGCACTGGCTGTTACTGTGTGCGAGGTGGACAGATGGTGTGTGTGGATCACACTAAAGCCCCTGGCTCTGGTTCCAGCTGATGAATTAGGGGAGCAGGGGCTGGGAAAGGTTAACTCGGTTGTACTTTTAATGCTAAGCCCATTGGTGCACATATTGGTGTGCAGACAGACTGGTAAGCCTGGACCAGGAGGAAAGAGAGACAGATGTCTGCCTTTGGAAAGTCCGTGCTTCCTCCTGGTGACTGCAAAGTGGATCTCTGGGATGGTCTGGTACCGAGCTCCTGGCTGGGACAGGGGAGGGCTCAGCCCTCAGCTCCTCGTGTGCCAGTCTTCCTCCTTCTTTAGACCCAGGTTGGGGTGGGGGAGCTGGGAAATGAGCCTGGCAGAGGAAAGCCCGTAGCAGCCAGGAGAGAGAGCTCTCTGCTCAGCAAAGGATCCTCCTCCAAGCGCTGCCGGTGTGAGACATCTTGGCTTTCATCTCCAGCAGATGTTCCCCTTTCCAGGAGGGCTGCAGCCATGGCTGCTGGAGGAATCCATGTCTCCCATCAGCATCTCCTGCTACGGGGCGAGGCTCTGCCTGTGTCCAGTGCTCATACACCGCGGTGTGAGCTCAGGAAAACCAGGATCCAGAGATGTGAAAGCCAAACCAAACCCACGCCCACCCTAGCACTAATCCCTCTCCATCACAATTCTATTTTCAGTTTTTACCCCACATTTTGGTGTTAAAGCAAAACGGATGGAAATAAATGATCGGAAAGATGAGATAAGGGGAAAGACAAAACACTTGAGACCATCGAGGCTCTCGGCTTCACGGTTACAAAATGCGGATCCCTTTTCTGTCCGGAGGCTGCGGGTTGGGTGGTTGCCGGGGGACAGCGGCTCTTCGGGTCCCCGCGGAGTGACAGCGGCAGCGGGGCGGGCCCGCAGGTGGCACTCTGCGCCCGGGAATCCCCCGGCAAAGCGGGGAGGGAGAATTCGGAGCCGGTGGCGAAGAGCTGCCGTTGGAAGGCGGCTCGGTGGGCAGCCACCACCCTCCCTCCCGCCCCTCGCACCCGCTGCTGTGCCCGGGGATCCGAGCGCGGGGGGCTCCGCGGGGCGGGACGGAACCGCGCGGGGGGTTGGGTGGGTGGGAGGATCCCACGGGGGGTTTCCCTCCCGCCTCGGCCCTCCGCACCCCGGCGAGCATCCCCTCCTCGGGAGGAACCGGGCCAAGCCGGGGGCGGTGCGCTGCCCCGCTCCTGCCCCGCGGGCAGAGCCCCGTTGGCCCCTCCTCCGGCACGGCCTCCCGCGGGGCGCCGAGCCCCGAGCGCAGAACGGCGGCGGCGGGGCGAGCTCCGAGCCCGCTCCGCCGGGCCATGGCGAGCGGCGACGCCGCGCCCGCGGGCTCGGGCTCCGGCTCGGGCTCGGGCTCGGGCACGGTGCTGCCCAGCCGCCTCCAGGAGACCGAGAAGCTGCTGGCCGCCACCGAGGGCCGGGAGGGCCTCCGGGGCTCCAAGTCCTTCACGGCCGCGTTGGCCGGCGAGGCGGAGCGCAACGGGCACGGGCTCTCCTACAAGTCGGTGTCGGTCGGGCACTTGGAGGCGGCCCCGCTATCGCCGTCCCGGCTCAGCCTGGGCAGAGCCTCCTCCACCGCCACCAGCACGGCGGCTCCCGACCAGGGCCGCCCGCGGGACTACCTGGTACTCGCCATCTTCTCCTGCTTCTGCCCCGTTTGGCCCATCAACGTGGTGGCCCTCGTCTTCTCCATCATGGTGAGTGCGGCCCCGACGGGCGGCACCGGGCTGCGGCGCTGTCCGCGGTGCTGCGGCGGCTCGGGGCGGGGAGCGGCCGGGCGGGGCTCGGAGCTCGGGGCTCGGAGCTCGGTTCCTGGGGCTCAAGACTCGAATTTCGGGGCTCAGTGATCGGATCTCGGGGCTCGGAGCTCGGAAGGGTTGTGCTGCTGCTCCCATGCCTCGACTGGGGTTCTCTGGGACAGCTCACGGAGGAATGAAGTGGGGCAGCCCGGGCTGTTGGATTCGGGATTTAGGATGTGGGATTGGGGATGCGCAATGTGGGATTTGGAAATACGGGATTTGGAATTCGGAATGTGTGGTTTGGAATTTGGGATTTGGGCTCATTCAAGATGCGGGATTTGGGATGCGGTTTGAGGCACGCCCTGCCCTGACTCCATGCCCTCTCCTCTCCCGGTGGCCGTAAGCAGCCCAGTTCCCAGCTGGGATGGAGCAGCGAGGCGCGGATGGAGCGCTGTCCCTCTCTCCACCCCTTAGCAGCCCAACCCAACCCTGCAGCATCGGGGGGACCCGGGCGGGGGGCTCGCTCCTGCCCTCAGATACTTCAAAGGGAGGAAGGCTGCACCTGCAGCTCCCACATTCGTCCCAAAAAAGCAATTTTCTCCATTAAATATCCCCCACACCTCAGCAAACACACCGACATCAGAGCAGGAGAGAAGAAAGGCAGCCGCCTCCCACTTGTCTCAGCAGAGCCTCGCGAGCACGGCCACCCCCTTCCCCTGCTGCTGCACAGCCCCCGGCCAGCCTCCCCACCATGCATTTCCAAAGGAGGCAAATCTCATCTTTGAAAATGCTCATGGAAAGCCATCCCCTGCTCTCCACCCAAAATACAGAGGCATCATTCTCCCACAGCACAGAAACAGGGATGTGCAGCTGCCTGCAAACCTGCGTGGCACCCGGGTACCCCTCATGCTGGAGGGTGGGCAGCCTCCCTGCAGTGTGCTGACTTCCCTCTAGCTCTGCAATTGTGTTTTTTCCTTTCCCAAGTCAATGCTTTTTTGCACATGAAAGCTTTGCTGGGCAATAAGCGGCAAGCAGAGAGGGAAGCAAATGAATGCTTTGTGGAGTTAGTGTCTCATAAATCATTATTTTTTTCCAAACGCTGCACTCAGATCCCCATAGGGCTCAGGGCCAGGGGTGGGGAAACAAATCAGCTCCAGCCCCCAGGCCTTTCCTGCTCCTGGTGGTCTTGGGGAAATGAGCAACCTGGGGGCTCCTCCACTGCTCCCGGGGTGCACCTGCTTGGAGAAGAGCCAGAGTCCCATGGGAGTGCAGAGCTCACCCAACAGCACCCAACAGCAGGAGCTGATCAAGGGGAGTGAAACACAAAGTGAGAACCCACACCGAGTAAAACAGTGTGCCCCAAATCCATACTGCTGCTACAGAGCAGAGGGAGAAGTCAAACTGTGTGTTATTCATGTAAATGGTGCATTCATCCATCTCAGTCTGGTGGTGATTTATACCTCCCTTGGAACGTTTTCTTCAACCAAATGCAAGTGTGGAGAATTAATGACTGATTCTGAGTAACGGGTGGCACTCAGCAGAGCACATCCAAAGCCAGTTCATAAATGGAGAGAGGCTGCGACCGTTTGTCTTTCTGTCCCTGGGACTGGCACGGGGTGGCTCTCCTGATGGCACTCACCTGGCTCCATGCATTTTGCTGTGGGTCCCTTCCAGTCCCAACTCTGTGCTGGGTTGTGTTCCCTAAAAGATTCCCCGTGACACCGAGTCCCTTAGCACAATGCTGGCATAATGCCCTTTGGGGCTCCTCTGCGTCTCGATTAATAAAGAAAATGGTCATGGTTTTATGGAGAATGAAAATCATAGGGTGGCTGATAGGAAGCAGCTATAATCAAACCATTCCAATGAATAATATATGTGCAGGACCAAATGCTTGCTAAATACGCCACGCTGATGCTGATGTATTTTTCAGAATTGTTCAGGATAAACGATCACTAAACACTTCCAGAAGCTGTAGTGATAAATATGTCGAATCTGTTAGCCCATATATTTTCCTTGGAAGACAGCTAGAGCTGCAAATATGTTTCACCGCAATCTAACCCACACCCTGCAAAAACATTACACTTGGTTACAAACATCTGAGCCTATAAAAATCCCAAACGCCGGGGGCTGTCAGCGAGCAGCTCAGGGACTCCATCTATCCCTGCATGGCTGTGTTCTCCCCTGTCCCTCTGCACCATCCCATGGGGCTTCTTTTCTTCCCCTCCTGCTCTACAGTGCAAACAAGCTCTTGGCTGCGTACCACTGATTTTTGGGGTTGCCTGCCAGGTGTGCTGTAGGGAACCAAAGGGAATGAGGTCTTGAGCTCAACACCAGTGCAATGGTTTGGCTGTGTGATGCCAGATTGCCAATTATGGGGTGATGCAAGCTGAGGACATCGTAGGTAATGGAGTTGCATGGAGTTGGAGCTGTGCTGGCTCTGCCAGCTGCTCGTTTTCTTTTGTTTTCAATACAAGAAAGCTCACACATGGTGCAGTGCATCTGAGATGCACAGTTTTGGAAAGGAAAGTGCAATTGTTTGATACTTTTTCATCCTTAATTCTTGATTCTTCTTTGCCCACATTGCATCTCTCCCCTATTTCTTTTCCCCATTCCAAGCCCCCCCGAACAGCTGAGAACACTACCAATGGGCCTTACAGCTCCTTATCCTATTTTCTTCCGTCCCAAACCTTTCTCAGTTGGTTCCACTGAAGGATCCAATTCCAGCTCCCAGGGCTCCCTCCATCCCTTATGGACCCCAGGCCACCAGTGACTGCCTCCCCCATCCCAGCCCCCAGTTAATGAATTTCTTTGGGGATCCAAGTCCCAAATTCCAGTTGTTTATTTTTCCATACAAGCTCCAGAGAAGGATGGTTGTTGTTGGTCAACGCCTCCCACCCAGGCCAGGGTCCTAATGCAGACCTGAACCCATTCATTGCCCATCTTACCCTTGGGGAACAGAGGACAACCAATTGGCTGAGATCCAATCCATGTCCCTTGGTGGCACAGCTGCTGAATTTCGGGGCTGCAGTCTCTCTCAGGAGCCTCTCTCTCTATGCTTCCCCCCAGTCACGGAACAGTGGGCAGCAGGGGGATGTGGATGGAGCCCGACGCCTGGGCCGCATGGCCCGCCTGCTCAGCATCGTCTCCATCGTGCTGGGGACCATCATCATCGTGCTCTACGTCTCGCTCAGAGTCTGAGGTAACACCTCCTTCTCATTTCCCCACCTCAAGCAGTGACCTCTCCTTTTTTTCCCCAGTCCATGAGGCTCCTTGGGCAGTTTATGGGACACCCCTGCCCATAGGACACATCATTCCCAGCCAGCATGAGGCACTGAGCACTGCTGTGCTGTGCTGATAAGTCCACCATCAACAGCACACATGCAATATGCTCCAGAGAAGGGGATGCTTGCAGCAGGAATAGGACCAGAATTTGAGGTCTCTCTACTATCCCATATAAGATCCCCCAGGCAAAAAGTGTTTTGGCTATAACCCAAGGACTTACTATAGTGAGGCTGAGGTGGGTTTCTCTGATAGATTAAAAGCAAAGGGACTGAGGCCACAAGTCAGCCTGCCCAGTGGTGCCATCCCCGGGTGTGTGGAGACCTTCCCATCCACAAAGCCACCTTCTCAGAGCACCTGGGGACATGGGAATGTCACATCTCACCCACTCCATGGCCCAAACCCCAAAGGCATCAGGATCACCTCTGCTGGAAGCTGCCCTGAGACCCTCTTTCTGTTTTACAGCTTCCTAGAAGACGTAGCATGCAAATACCTCGAAGAGGAGGAAGACAGCGCTCCTTTTGGGGTTTTTTTACTTTCAGCCTTGCAACAAAAACTTGTGACAGCGGAGCCCATCTGGAGGAATGTGCGTGGCTGCTCCACTGCCTTCTGGGGACAAGAGGGGATGGGCACACGGCAAGGGGATGAGGGACAAGAACTGGATGTGAGCAGAGAGGAGAAGGGGAAATCCACTACCTCATTCCCCTCCAACAGGGTGGGGAGACCACGCAGGAGGATGGACAGAAGAAGGAGGAGGAGGGAGATTCCAGACCGAAGCTTGTTTGAAGAAAAACCTAAGGGCGGACCGTGGCATTTTGAGGAATCCTCCTAAGGATTTTGGCACTGTCGTTTTGGGGGATTTGTTGGTTTTTAAATCATCGAATTCTGTCTCTGCAAAAACAAACAAACAAACAAACAAAAAACACCCAAAAGCTCAAACTGCCACCGGGAGCGGAGCGGTGTTCCATGCATGAGGAGGGCGAGCTGCAGAGCGCGGCGGTGCTCGGAGATGCGGTGGGTGCTTTTGTATTTTTGATGAAAAAAAAAACAAAAAAGAGACAATGACCATTTGCATGCCTTTGGGAATGTTCTCCGTGTCTGCTCATCCATCCACGCCCCTCCATCGCTCGCAGATGTCCGGGCTGGCGGAGCAGGGCGCTGCTGCATGGGAGCGCAGCGCTAACGGAAGGGATCACGCTTTCTTTGTGCAACCACACGTTTCCTTCTCCATGCACCCAAAGTGAGGTTAATGCCACCGGCGCTGAGCACAGGTTCTGGTTAACCCACAGAGGCGGCACTGAGGAGCAGAGCCCTCCTACCTGCTGGGTCGTGTTTGTCACACAAGAGCTGCAGCAAGATCCGGCCCTACGGCCACGCTCATCTCCCCTCATGTCTTTGGGCTCCAACTGAGGGCTCCAGGGGACCTTCAGAGGGATGGAGGAGTTCAGAGTTGTGCTCTTCTCATTACCCCTCTTCTGCATCTCGGACACCTCCAGCACCACTGGAGCGTGCTGGGCTCGGGTCCATGAGTATTATTATTTTTTAAAATTTTGTATTTAACAACATGTAAAGAATGCTGACTTTTTGCTCCCCATGATCATCCCAAGCCCCGCTGCTCCCAGCCAAGTCTTCCACGCCATGCAGCCCCATCCGACCTCCTTGTTCCCACTGTGGGCTGATGCTGGCGCTGGCATTTCATTTGGCCGTGCAGATTGAGCAAGGTTCCCGTTGCTGTACGTTTGCAGATGGCTCCTGGCTGTGCCCGTTGGCTTTGCATTGGCCAAGCCTTCCTTTTAGCAAAACTTTGCTGGCACAATTCCAAATTGCAGACGTGGGAGCTGCACCCACAGCCTGCCCTGGGACGTGGGGTATTTTTGAAGCACCCTACCCAGGAGATCCCCAAACCAAACCCAACGTGTCCAAGGGTTTTGTCCATGTGGGAGCTACTGTACATCGTGGTGCACCGGCAGGAGCCCCCGAGCATCACTGTGCTTGCATCCTTCCCAAACTGGTGTGCATGGGGCACGTGGGGAGGCAGAGGGGAGAGGTGCTGTGCCATAAATCCTCGAAACATAGGGATGTAGATGGGATTGTTCTCTTGTCACTTGTTTAGCTGCTCTTTGTTACGGCGTTTCCTTTGGGTAGAGGTAATCTGAACCCAGGGGATAGGAGAGCCAAATCCCTGCACCCACCGTTACGTTTTTCTTTACGTTCAAAGGGGCTGCAGGGACTCAGAGCAATAGCACAGTACAACAGCTCTTTCCTGGGCTGCCTTCCCACCCGCCCCTTTGCCTCTGCTTTATTGCAAACTGTGAGCTTCTGAAAACGGACCAAATTCACCCCCTGCATTTGCAACTCATTTCTTGCACGCTCAGGGCTGGAGAAGCTCTGTGCTGGGCCGTGCGCAGAGCCCTTTGGCACCTGATCCCCTGTCCCTCTTGGAGGAGGGATCCCCGAGGATGAGATGGGTCAGCACATGGGGGAAACTGCAGCACTTGAGAGCACCAAATGGAGGATGGAACGCTGCCCTGGCATTACACAAAGCCTTCCAGCTCACGGCCTGAAGTGCTTTGCCACGGCTGCAGCCCCGCGGCGAGGGCTGCGCTATTCTCATCGCACAGATGGCAAAGTTGCTCCAAGTCACGTGTGCCAGCAGCTCAGAAAAGAAAACAGTTCTTTCTCCTCCTCAACATAAATAGGAGGGAATGCATCCGTCCTTTGAATCTGATGCTTCCAGAGGGCTTTTTGCAAGCCAGGACGACCTCGAGGATGTACAGAGCAGGACCAGAGGTGCAGCAGAGGCACCAGAAGCCACCGAGTGCAGGAGAGAGCAACAACTTTCCAAAAAAAAAAAAACAAAAACAAAAAACCAACCAAACCATAAAACAAAAAGACCCCTCGATTCCTTCCCTTTTTTCATCTCCTTTCTGGCTAGATACAACTGCACTGCCCTGCACTCTTCAATACATCTCCGTGCTCCTCATCCCACACTTAGACACAGTCAAACGTCTCTACAGTCACACGGAATGTTTTCCTTCCTTGCAACCCACCTCCTGTGCCGTACCAGAAGGCTCCCAGGACCAAGCAGACCCTTTCCCCACTCTGCATTGAGCTCCCGTTGTGCTCTGCAGCCTGATCCTGCACACAGGACTCTCCAGGAACTGCTCACTGCAGCACTGTGGTTTCAGCCAGGTTCTTTGAGGGATGCAGTGTCCGTGGGGCAGAGGGATGCACAGCACCCAGTGTCCAACTGATGACTGCTGGTGGAGAGGACCAGGAGGGCTTTAGCACAAAGGGAGGAAAATGACAGAAGAACTTTCCCAGTTTGCTGCACTGGTGATGATTTCCCTTTTCCTAATCGTTATTTCCCTCCTTTCCAGTTGCTGCCAATTAAACACCAACCCCACTCCTGTTCAGTCTGAGCCCAGGATGGGGCTGAGCCACCCCTATGGGCTGCTCCCACCCCCGGTGCCTCCAGCCCCATCCCAGCACTTGGCCGCTCATCGCTGCCCAACATGAACTGATTGCAGATTGAATGCCAATTATTTTCTTTCCTTGTGCACTCTTTCATTTTGGCAAAGCCAAATTTGGCAAAGCTAAAATCTCCCATGCTTGGGGACAAGCCAAGGGGGTGAGGGGAGGGGGGGGAGGGAGGGGAGCAGCCTTTTCAAAGCAATGGGTGTCCCAGGGCACGGCCCCAACCCTCAGAGCCCAGCTGGAGGAGTGCTCAGCGATGCCATGGACACTCCAGGAATCGCCTTGCTGGTCGATGTTTCTTTTTCTGCGGGATGATATGGTGTACCTTATATACTTCCTTTGTATTTCTTGGCATGAGAAAAGAATTAAAATGTAACATGCATGGTCAAAGCCAGACTTGCTTCTTCTGTCTAAATGAGAACAATATATCAAACTGTTTGTTTAATTACTGCTCCCCATTCCGAAGGCAGTGCAGCATTTTGGCTGTGGTGGCACTGCCACCAGACCTCACCTCTGCAGCTCTGCGTTCTGCACAGCCAATGAGGAGAGAGTGCAGACACATTCCAAACCCAAATCCTCAAATTATTGATCAAAACCACGGATCTCCTGAATGGGCAACTGCCCTGAGCAGCCTCGTCCATCCCCTCATTCCTATCCCAAATGGTGGCTGCAGGAAGGAGCCCAGCAAAGCTTTGTGCTGTCGATAGGCAGCGATAGGACCAATACCTTCTTTTCTTTCTCAGAAGACAAAAGCTACAGTGGTGGTTTGGGGATCCATCACCCGCATTTCAAACCTTGAGGCACTGCCTGAACACTCAGGCAGCACTCAGACCAGACCAGCTTTCTCCATACCCTTCCCCTTTATCACAACACCATCCCCCACTGGGCTCTGCCCCATGCTAAGGCATTTTGATCCCTATTTCTTTGCCACGTCCAGAATTTTCCCAGTGTGAATCCTAGAACCCACAGCACAGAATGCTCTCCCTCCGCTGGGCGCAGTCCTGGAGCAGTGGGCAGATGGAGCTCCAGACCTCAGAGGTGGGAGCTGATGGCCTCTGCTCTGCTGTTTTGCTAAGGAGAGGGCAGTGCCAAGTGCTTTCGCTCCTGTTTTATTAATACTCTGCTCTGATGGTTCATGTATAATAGATAGGAGAAGGAACAGTGAGAGGTTTACATCCCATTTCCTTGTGGATATGGTTCTTGCTGAGCACCAAAGGCTCTCTATTCACCTCTAATAAGTTTGTGTGAGGTCTGGGGGTTCGGGTGAAGGACACAAAGTCGGTCACCACTTCCCCAGCCGCTTTCCATGGGAGTTCCCAGTGGAACAGAGGGAGATGTCTGGATTTGCTCTGGCACCCATAACTCCGTACTCAGCCCTTTCCTTCTGCTGGCTGCTGCTGAATCTCCAGGTTTCCTAAAATAGAGCTGTGGGGATTCTCCCTGAGCTGAGCACAGAGATGTGACGACTGATGGCCCTCATTGCCTCCACTCCGCAGGGTGGCTGGAGCTGCTGAAGGACTCCTCACCTTATGAAGCTGTAACAGAGGGGGGAACAGAGCCTTCCCAGCAAAACACCTCCTTCTGCCGAGCTCATAGGGATGGCTGACTACAGCCTGTGGGTCCTAAGGAATTTCTCCTGTTTTTTGGTCCCAGGTGCCATTCCTCAAAGCCCATTTGTTATACCCTTCCCAGCTCTGAACACCCAAACCCGGCAGCATCCCTCCTTCCCATTCCTCCCCCTCCTCCCACAGCAGTGCAGAGCTGAAGTATTCCTGGATGTGAACAGATGAACTCATTCATCCCCCAAATGTAAGCTTTGTTTTTTTCCTTTTTACGTTTCTAAGCCAGAATAGAGGTTGGAAAGTCTTCAAATTCCCCCAAACACCAGGAAAACCAGGAATAGCATCCCACCATCCCCTCGCCCTGCTTCAGGTGCACCATGGGCTGAACGCCGATTTGGGACGGGCATTGCTGGAGGCTGGCAGCCCCCTCCACCCCTTGACATAAGGTTGTCACAGACTGACTCACCGCCGCACCTCAGTGATGCCCGTGGGTAAATTTAGCTCTGGTGACACACGCCTGACCCAGAGGGAACTCCTCTTATAGCACAGTGGGGAAACCGCCCGCATCCCAGCGCTGTGCCACCGGAGCACAGGGACGCAGCACCCCACCTCACACCTGCACTGATGACACGGCCCTTCTGCTGCACTGTTACCCTGGAATGGAATTAATTTTCGTGCTGTCGCCGCTCAGCACTTTTTTTGGGGCTCCTCTCAGTTCCTTTTTTCCCCCACCTGCGCTGTTCCTGCAGAGCTCCGAGCGAAGGCGGCCGTACAAATGTGATGGCTCAGCAGCGTGGCACCAACACAGCCAGCTCAGCACGGGGCTGGGGAGCAGCTTGTGTGCCTGGGCAGTGCTGGAAGGAAGTTTCCACTGCACAAACAGCAGCAAAATGGGACCTGTGAGGTCTGCGATGTGCAGCAAGAGGCCACCAGCTCCTCCCGCTGCATCTTCAGCAAGACGCAAGCTGAAGGATTCTGATTCTTCTTCCAAGAGCACTGCATGGGATGGGGGTGGGCAAGGAGGGTGAGAAACAGCATCCAAAGAGGTTGCAATCTGCCTTCCAGCGCTGCTGAACAGACACTGCACTGTGCATCAGGGGGTGAGGATTCATACAGACCTCAGCGGCGATTCTGGAGAAGAAAACACAGTGAGAGGACCACAAATGCTGCTTCAAATGGTGGAGGGACTCTGATTGCAGCCAGAGCTCTCCTCCTTTACGAGCAGAGCTACCAAAAGTGGGTTAGCAAAGCCTCAGGGTCCCATTAGGAGCAAGGAATGGTGGCAGGAAATGGAGGAGCTGAGCGCACACACCACGCAGTGTGCTGGGAGGTGGATGGTTAAAAATGTATCTCCGGCGCTTGTGCCACTATAAATTATTGACTGTACAGGGAGCTGGAAAAAAGGATTCAACCCCATTAATAATTTACCCCCTAATCCAAACAAAGATGGAATTTTATGCACCACTTATTACCAGTGAAGCAACTGGGAAAATGAATGGCGCTTCCCGTCCGGAGGCAGAACAGCCTCTGTGCATCCAGAATGATCCCAGAGTTGGCTCTCCAGGCAGGAGCACCCAAAGCTGCCCTGAAGGAAGAACTGCTCACCCCCAGCAGTCTGAGGGTACACGAGAGATGCAGGGATTCATCATTACTGCACAGCCCCCCACACAGGGACAGGTCCCAACCAACAGCTGCGTTGTCTGTGGGTGCCGTTGTGAGATGCTCTGGTCCATGGCTGTGGGTTTCCACGCCGCCTGCACTGAGCTCCAAGGTTCACACCTGGTGTTGTGCTGTGAGGTGGGAGCAAAGGAACCAAACCACTGAGAAGTGGTTTAAAAAAGAAGAGCATCACCTCCTATAGTCTGTCAGCTTCACATTGGCCCCCGTTTGGGCAGGCGTTTGGGAATCCATGTTTTAAATTATGGATTTATCACAAACCTTCATAGAGCTCACCTTGAGAGAAGCCCATTGTGGCACAGAAGCAGAAAACAAACCCACGTGTACATCCAGGGTCAATCCCAAACTGCAGAGATGAGCTCTGCAATGTCTGCATCTTCACTGGAGCTGGGGAGGGAGAAGTTGCCCCGGGGAAAGAACCAAGCACCCTGCTTAGAGTTCTCATTTATTATTAAATTACATATCAAAGCTTCGTAATTACATCCAGAGAATGCACAATAGGTGAAAAGTAATTACAGATACAGTAAGTTTCAAGCAGCTCTGTGAAAAGCAAAAAAGAATCAGAAAGTGCAATCAGAAACTACAATCAGAAATTAACTTACAGAAGTCCGGACTGGGATGTTTTGTCAGAAAGGTTTTGTTGGTGATGACTTTTTTGGTGATGGTGGTTTCGTTTTGAGGGAATGTTGATTTAAACCACTTTCCTCACTCTGCAGCACACAGAGGACAAACCACTGCTTTGTTCAGAGCTGAGCACAGCGCTGGGTTCGTGCAGCCAGCACACAGATCCCAGGAGGATTTCTGATGTCACCCAGAAAAGGGTTCAGTTCTGTCCCATTGTGCTCTCCTTGGCTGTGCACTGCCGTTCTGAGGGCTGCCATAATCCAGCACTGTTAGAAGGAGTTTCAGAATTATTTCTTCCTGTCACCCCTCCTGTCTGCTTCACATGAAAGGTTTTTGGGAAAAAAAAAAAAACATAAGAAAAAGTTATGCATGGAATGATGTTGGCAAACAAGCTGCTGGGTTTGGGGAGGCCCAACAAACCCAACCAAATGGGAGTTCCCCAACTGGGAATGGTGGAGCAGTTTTGGGAACGTGGCTCCTGGAGGGGTCAGCACAGACCTGGAACTTTTACATCACCTACAAACACGTTACTTCTGCTCTTTTATTTTCAGCACCCAGTGAGGAACTGGTTCTTCTCACAGCAACCTTAAGACCTTCAAAAGACAGGACTTCTAGAACTACATAAGGTTCTGCTTGATCAGTTAACGAACCCAGCAGGAGCTTGCAGCATGCGGATACCCAAAGCTCATGAGCTCAGTACTGACCACAAACACCCACTGTGTCTTCCCAGAGCAGCAGAAACCCCCACATCCTTGGTTCTGCCAATGCTCAGTGCTGACCAAACACACACCCAGTGCTGCCCGTGGGCTCCAGCAAACGGAGCAGGAGGATCAGACAGGCAGAAATGGCAGGGACACAAACACCAGGGTCTGTCTGAGGGATGAGAAGTTGCCAGCAGGACCTGGTTGAGTTACTACATTGCAACTCTGCTGGGAATTCCAGAAATAAAAACTGTTTAACACCACATTTTCCTAAAGATTAAGAAGAACTGCATGGAAGGACCATAGCTAGCATTTCCAGTCAAGCTTTATCAGAGATAATTCAGCATATTTATCTTGTACTAAAATAAATCAGTTCCTTCGAAACATCTTCATAACATGAAAAAAAATCAATCCTGTTTACATATTTATTATAATTACATACTTTCCATAGCAGCTTTTTCACACAATAAGATTAAGTATATGCACCAAATCATCAATTAAGTCCAGTAAAAAGACGGGTTACCAGATTAAGGAAATGAATTTATTTATGGTGCTGCAGATCTCAGAGTGCCCTCTATAGAGCAGCCAAATCCTACAGATCTGAAGCAGATGCACGACTGCCAGTTGGGATCCTGCACAGGGTGGGATGGGGGAGATAAGGGCTGATCTCCCAGCACACAGCTCCATTAATAAACTCCCTTTATCCATCAAGGTTTTTCATAAACCCCTTTAATAAACGCTTTATATCAAACCAGGAATATTCCCAGATCAACCAAATAATCACCTTTATTTACATGTATTAATTCCAAATGCTTTCTAACCCCGCCGACCGATTAGAAGTCTTTGTAGACCTTTTAGCACAAAGTCATTATTCTGCAAATAAGCCTTCCAGCCCATACAAACGTTTCAGAGGCAGCAGTGTGGGCTGCACACCACACAGGCACAAACCCCAACCCCTCCAGACACAAGAAAAGCAGTACAACACTGCAACTGTGCCACTAGGCTTTGTTCCAGAAGATGACCTGGAAGCTACCTGACATCCGTGGCAATGGCATCCATGGAATCTCTTAGGAACACTGTCAAAGAGCTGATTAAGCTCCTAAGACATTCCAGTGCTTCAGTTGGGATTCACTGGGTTATCATACAACAGATGGAGAAAAAGCAGTTGAAAGAGCAGAAAGAAAAATCCATTGTTTGTGGTTCTGCAATATCAAAGCCCTTCCTGCCATCAGTTACCAATGCAAACACATCAGGGTTTGTGTGCCTGGACAAGAAGAACTCCCCCAGATAACAGTAAATAAAACTTGGTTTGTTATTTTACATTCAACTCTTCACCAGGAGGAGGTGTGTCCAAAACTTTTGCACTCAGATGCATTTGCCTCAGGTAGAACCATCGTAATTTTCACTTCCAATTGACAGTGTAGATATCTTACTTACAGTGTAAAAATATTAATGCTATTAGAATAACTTTATGTAAATTACAATACAGACTTTTCAGTCGTTGTCTTTATAAAGACCTCTACGACGTCAGCCAAAATCCAAGTACTGACACCCAAAGACTGTTCTTAGGTGAACTCATGTTTGGTCACTTTTCAGATGACTAAACACTATGGTAAGGAGCTGCTGCGAGGGCACTGTGCTCCCTTTTTACAGATGAGGACCTGTCAAGTCCCTTTAAAGCCACAAGAAACCTTGTCACCGTTCCTCAGAGGGCAGTTTATTCATTTTCTGTGCAAAAAGTGAATGGAGCAATCCTTGCCTTCTTTGAGGAATTTGTGGGAAGAACAGTTTTCACAGCACAAACGATGAAGAAATAACTATTACCTCAACCATGAGTTAAAAAGAATTACAGAACATGTATCTAGTAGTAAAGCAACCTGATGGCTTAAAGCTGCAATATTCTTCTTGTAGGACAACAGTGCCAAGAAGTGCCTGCAGGCAAAGCAGGTTTCCTGCAGTTCCCACCTGCTGGCCAGCACCTCCCCAGCACCACTGAGCACAGGAGCTGTTCTACTGGTGTTGTTAAGTGGCTGGATTTACTTACCTTGCAATGAGAAAGGGACTAAAGGAGGAAAAAATTTAAAAAAAAAAAAAAAAAGAACAACAAAAAAAACCCCATCAAATTTAACCAGAGGAAATGTATGGCAGGGAAGGAGAAACACTGCAGCTTCAACCCCAAACCAGTGTTGTAGTCTATCATCATCAACTCCAGACATCATGCTGACGGTCCCAGCCAGGGGGAGCAGGCTGATGGAAGTCCATCTCTTCCCCTGCTCACTTTTCCTTGGCTGGGGGGAGGGATGGTGGTGATGAGTTTAGTAGAGTCCACGGGGGAACATCCATCAATGGAAGGCAAAGAGCAGCAGTAGGATGGTACAGATGCCAATGATGCTGCCCAAAATGAATGAATCCCGTCGTTTCCGAAGGTTGATCCTCTGGATCAGGCTGTTCACTGCTGGGAATCGATCTTTAAGCAGGGTGAGTCAAGGTCATACCAAAAAAACAGTGACTTATTTAACCAGCCCCAAATTCTGTATGTGCAAGTCAGCAATGCCACGAAGTACAGAACTACTCCCAAGTTGGAGAAAGAAGATGCAGTCATAAAACTAACAAGATAAGCAGGATTACAACTGTACTTTGCTAATAAGGCAGAGAAATTATGATCTAATAATCAGAGGAGAGAGTTAATGGAACAGGTTAGAGTTCACATTTACATAGAACTCAGTATTTGATCACCAGTGCTTGGTGTCATCTCCGATACGAGGTTTTGTTACTCTTAATAAGTATGTTTAAATGAAAAAAAAAGGGGGGGACCAAAATTTTGGTGATATTTCTTTAATGGAATAGTTACTGGTTAAGGGAACAAGCAAAAGGCATTTGACTGAGAGAAGCATGCATGTTACAGGGATATGCACTATTCCCTGCACAGCACACAAAGAACTCCTCCTACTGTCAAGTCATACTAATGTCAATCCATCCTAAGCTAAGAAACCAAAATCTTAACATCTGCAAGCCTGTGACAGACAGAAGAATCCTCAGGTGATGAATACTGAGCTATAAATAATGCCAAACAGCAGCAGTTGCTCTGGCCTTGAAAACCAAAACCAACAGAGTTGGAAAGGTAATAAATGCTGTTATAGATCTCTGCATGAAAAATATAGACTTGGGTCTATATGCAGGATTCAAAGTTGAATAAAACCAATTTGCTCATCACATTTGTCATTAACAGACTTCAGTTAGATTAAAAAAAACAACCACAACCCAACAAGACCACCGTAGGTTATGCAGCTGTTGGCATCCCAAAGCATTTTGATTCCTGAATCAATGACATACTGAAAAGAAGTTACTGTACCTCTTTCTTAAGCATTGGCAGCACAGTTTTTAAGGAAGGATACTAGCCAAGGTATTCATCTTGCTGTGTATTGACTTCAACATCCCTCTCTGCGAAGTCATATTTTCTTTCGTTGCCATGGCAATGCTGGAAAAAGAAAAGAGTGGATCAAGTTGCTGGTGCTAAGAATAATCTACAGCTAAAACAACAGGAAAGCGAGCAGGCAACACCTCTCTGCAGAACAATGAATGAGGTGAAGCAATATGAATGAAACAACATTTGTTTCCATTAATCTCTCTCTTTTGCCCTTACACGATTTCTCTTTCTGTAGAAGCCATTAACAACTGAAGACAACGACTCTCTGAACAAGGCTTTGGTGCACCTCCACACCCAGTGAGAAATGAGTGTTCCATTACAGCAAGCCTAAAGGTGCCCTGCCAGTCTACACTGTAAATTGGGAAGTTTGCTGAATCAAGCAGATCCCAACTCCAACTGAGCACACAAAGTTTGGGTTCTTCTGATTCATGTCCCACAAAGTCCAACTCTGCTGTTTTCTACAAGCTGGTGTATCATTACATTGTACCAAATGACACTTCCATCACAGCATTAAAAAAATCACATTTTTGACCCTCAGCCCTAATTAAGAATGTCACACAAGGAAATACAGTTTTCATACTCTGCTTCTTCAGTAAGACTTGGTCAACCCAGATATCAGAACACAATACAAGTGAATATGAAATCAATTCCCATTTCAAGTACAAAACATTCTGGAAGTTGGAGAACAGCAACTATCCTCTTTAAATAATAAAATGCGTAGAAGAAGATTTTAGAGAAATACTCAACTGACAACTTTTTTTTTGAACCAGAAGCATCTCCTCAGTCCACAAAACCAAGAGTTCTACCACAGAAAATGAAAAGGCAGTCTGCTACTTGCAGTCCCAGTGATATTCTGTGTAGCTACACTGAATGCAAGAGCTCTGCCTTGACAAGCACACTCATTTACACATAGAGAAACAATATAGAAAAGTTTAGACTCAGGAGCTACAGCACTTAAGAAGGAAGAGTTTGAGGAATGCTGCTCTCCTTGGCTGGTGTGAATTGCAAAAAGAAGAACATCCATACAACGTTGTGGGATAACAACTCAGAAGATGGCACTTGCTACTGACTATACCTGCATGAATAACAATGGTTAAAAGAAGTTCCTGGATAAGTTTCTAAACCTTAAATATGGAGGGAAAGTGCTCTGGAAGAATGAAAGCTAACTGGAACATCATGATACAACAGAGAAATAGGAGAGCAAAGGCTGCAATTTGACAGGGAAATGAACAGATAGGAGAAAGCATCCTTTACCAAATACAGACATCCAAACTTACATGAGTGTTTTCTGCTTGCTCACACTCAGTGCTCACACTCAGTGCTCACACTCACGTACCACTGACTCCACCAGGGCACTGCAGCCAACCACAACACCTGGCAAAAGCCAGCAGAGCCAAGGCCAACAGTGGCCCTTTCAGACCTACAGCACCAGGTCACTGCCAGAGCTCAGAGACGTCTTAAGGAAAGAGCCTGGATCAATGAGCAAAAGTATGTCTGGAGCACTAAGTTCATTCAGGCTCCCTTCCATTGCATCTGCCTACTCCACCTCGAGGAGACCTTCATGCAGCATCTCTTGCCTTCCCACTGTGTGCCAGTCAAAATTGGGAAGAAACAAACAAACAACCCCAAAAACATAAAAGGAAAAAATCTGCATCCCTCTCTTTAGTGGAAGATGCCCTTTCCAGCCCCCCTTTCTGCAGTTTGAAACATGTTTCAAAACAAAACAGAGCAAACAAACAGAACCCTGACACAATGGATGCTTCTGGGCACACTAAGATCAGCCTTCATGCATTTTATGGCTTCGAGTTGTTTTATACAGTGTCAGATCAGCACAAGGTGAAACTGGAGCTATGCAGAAGCAGCAGGAGGAGGTGCCCCATCCATTAACCTGTGCTGCTCCTCTGTGCAAGCAGAACCGACCAGAGCAGCTCCTCTTGCTTTGTACAGGAACTGGCATTAAGCAAAGCGTGTTTGTTGCTGTGGATCCACCAACTCACCTGCTCTGTTGACACAACTGATCTGTTTGATTACATGGAAGAGTCATTTTAGGACTAAATTAAAATTCAGACAGAAAGCACAGTTCTTCATGCACTGATCACCTGAAACATTGCCTGGTTTACCTGAGCCTCTGTAGCTGTGAACCTGAGACTCCTGCATTTAAGCACCACCAAAATGGCAACGCACAGCTTCTGGGAACTAGTCCCTGTCTGCTTCTGCAGTCTCAAGCATTTAAGCTTCCTCATATTCTTCATTAAACAGCTCTGCTTCCATACCCACCCCCAGCATATGCTTATTAACTCACTATTATCATTTGTTTACTGACAAATGTCTTTTTTTTTAATTAAAAAAAATTAATCTTCCTGTTCACAGCATTGGTCCCATTTAGTCACTTGACACAGCAATCTCTCCAGATGAAGAATTACTTTTTCTTCCATTTTGAAACTTCTACTCAATGTTTATGTCATAAGATTAAATCCCTCCTTCAGGAATCTACCTGCTCCCTGTGGTAGATCCAATTCTCAAACTCACTCAGCAGAACGACACAGAATTAAGGCTTAAAAGTGCACTTTTCTTCCCAACAAAACGATGATCATTTCTCAAGGCATTCTTGGAGATGATGAACGTTGATCCTCCAGCTTTCCAAAGCTCCCCAGCCCACAGGAACAGTTTGGTTCCTCAATTGTTCCTGACTGATGATAAGACATCTCTGCTAAGTCCACGTTACAAGAGTGGCAGCACTGATGAAAACTGAGAATTCGTATCAGGACTGAACTAATTAAGACACATCCCCATGCCACAATACTCACAACAGCATGAACTTTTCTCAGTGCTGCACTGGACTGAGGCAGTAGGATGGGTTGGGTACCTTTACCCCAGGTAGCAGCCATTCAGATGCAGTGTATCAGCCAACCAAATATACCAAAAGTCAGCTCCTTGCTCCACTTATTCACGTAGCTCAGTCCCATCTGTATGAGTGCAGAACTAAAACAAAGCTCTGAAGGAACAAGGCACGCTTTTAAAAATAAAATAACTCGTGTGTTACGGGAAGTTCAGCTTCACTTTGTGCTTCATGAATCATACTTGCTTATTTAAATGCATGACAACATCTGTGACTGAGGGGATGGACTCAGTGACTATGCATAGAAATGCAAGCTCTGCTTCTAAATTGATAACAATTATGACCACATTGCTTGTTCTTTGTGTACACACACACATACATAGGCATATCCATACACACACATAACCTTTCCAATTTCATTACAGATTGTCGTGTCTTCTGATGAAGGCTCAGATGAAAACCAAGGAAATGTTCCCCCAGAAATGAATGTGATTTCACCCAGATCCTGCAGGCTCTCCTGAGCAGAGCTAGGACTCAAAATCTAACTCATACCTCCCCCTTCTGTGAAGTCAGGACTTAACACTAGTGAATTTTTCCCTTTTATTAAATCCTAATTATTACCCAAAGGAATGCCCCCTGTATACACACAGACATTTTCAATTTATTTATCTAATCTATGGGTTTGGTCAAAGCAAAAATGCTCTGAGTCCATCCTGCCAATAGACAAAGACTGACAAGTGAGCCTGAACCAGGCATCAGAAGGAATATTACAATGAATTCCTAGGAGCTGGTCACACCGTGATGCCAAACTGTAGCAAATTGTCAAAGTGAAGCAACCTAAAAATATAAGCTGTTGGAAAACAAGAAATAAATCATTTGCTATTCTGAGAAAGTGATAATGTTTGAAAATGAAAACCTGAGAACACCAAACATATTAAGCAGAATCTATGCTTATATTTAAATATATCCAAGACGAGTGAACACAGTTCCAAAAGAACTGCAGTACAAACTATCACTTCCCACTCCTTTCTGGAAAGAAATATGCTGCAGTTAGCAGCCATGTCACATAATTCATTTAAAAATCCCATTATAAGGTTCATGCTAACACAACATCTGGAATGACAGCTTCAGCACCTATGCATCCTCTTGCAGGTCTGCTCGCTCCATAGAAGAACCACACACAGGGCAAGTCAGGCCCTGCACTTCTTCAGTGCACTGCAAATCAGAGCAGGAATCCCACACCTGGACACCTCCAACTACTGTGGGTGACAAAAAAATCACCCTGGCTTCATCAGAGACAGAATTGAATTAAGGGGATCTAAATTAAACAGCACGTCCTGTGTGATGTGTGTGGTTACCCAACTCTTTCTCTACAAAAAGAAACGTTGAACATTTTTGGCAATGGCTACAAGAAGTTCATTTACTACAGGTACTAAATGGTGCAACGAGGAGCACTGAGATCCAGCCTCCTAAAATCATAGCTCACCTGCTAACAGAAGGAAAGCTTTCTGCACCCAGCAGCAAGGAGCTCTGAGCTGAGCCAGGCAGTTGGGTCTATTGCACGAGAAGCCATCCCTGGTTGATCCATAGTTAACCACAGGTCTGCAGCTCACCCAAATGGAACTCAAAGCCTTTTTACAGCAGGCAGGTCACCTCCTGATGATACTGTGGCTGGGACGCCATGGGGCTGGCTCACAGCTCGTCAAGGAACCCATGCAACACACAGGTAGGTGCCCTGTTTGAGCCCCAGCTTGCAAGCCAATCCACTCAGGACTTCACTTATCTTGTACTCTCATGCTCCTCTGTGACACGTAATCAGGAGGCCAGGGGAAGAGCTCAAATAATACGAGTCATTTTGCAGGATATCAAGCTTAATAAGTCATCACAGGCTTTATAATGCTTTAGTTATGAGAATGTTTGAGCAAGGAGAGCAAGGAAGAGATTTGACAAACACTGAGTGTTTTTATGAGGTGGAAAAGTAGGGCTACAAATATGGCAATAAAGGAGAGGATGTTTAATCAGGAGAAGATGAGAACCAAAGTAAAGTGAAGACTCACAATATCCGTGCTCAGATTGGCAAATATCTTTATGAGCCTGAGGAGAGACTACATCCACATCCTCAGACATTATGGCAGTGACCACTTCTGGTTTGTCACATCACATTAACGTGGTGGTTTAACACATTCTTCCACCATGTTAATTATACTGAGCCCACTGAATGTACTTAAGCTAGCCAGCCCTTAATGGACACAGAGCCTCTAATTACTCCTCTTCATCACTTATGCCAGTACATGCATTATCTGAAACCGTATCTTGCTTGCTTTCTTCCTTTTTTTTTTTTTAAAGCAATAATCTAAGACTTAAAACCATTAAGTCAGGCACTCTGAATTATTGGTTTTCAAAATCTCAGAGTTCAATGAAAGATTGGGAAGGGCACAGATGATAGAAGTAATCTTTGCAATGCTATGATTCGAGAATTTCTAGATCAGTTAGAGAAGGCAGCACTTAAATATTCAAACCACACGAAAACCAAGGAAAACCAAGTAACTATGCAGCAGCAACAGTCACTCAAGCCCATAAGGTCCAAGTGCCAACCAATATCAGCTGCATACTGGGATGCTGAACACGTCAAAGGACTACAGAAAATCATACTGCAGAAGAATAACCCTGAGAAAAAACAGCCCCACTACTGGAATGGCCCTCAACAACTCAACCTGAGATTCCCTCTGCTCAGCTATCCTCATTGTTGCCATAGAGGGTATTCATCTTTGAACAGAAACCCAAATTTTCCAAATTAGGCTGAATAAAATATTTCAGTAACACCATTATGTCAATGTTGAATAGTAAAAATAAAACCCCACTTCACTGTAATATCGTGTACCAGTTGTGAACAATACAGTTATTGTATAAAGAAAGTGACTGAGACTTTTGGACACAGTTCAGTGCAAATACTGATTGTACAGAAAATAATGAAAATTAGTAAATTCATTCCTACCTTATTGTTTCTTCTATCAGCCGATCTGAGCTGAAAGCCAAGAAAAAACAAAGTTAAAAAAAGGAACAAGCACTCAGTACTTTTGATCATTACATCAGTGATTTCCATGACATAATCCTTCACAAATTTACCCTTGCTAAGTCTCGTTTCAGAATACAGTTGCTGTTCACTACAACACAGATCTGGCACACATATAATGAGAGTTCTGGAGAAGAAGAGGCACGTAGCATCCCCAAGAGCAGCACCTCCCAACTGTAAGCAAGGCAAGACCTCTCAGACCCCCAGCTCCAACCCAAAACCCCACCATGCCCACTGCCATGATCCCAGCACATCTCCGTGGCTCCTGAACACCTCCAGGGATGGAGACTCCACCAGAGCTGCTACTGCTGGCAAGTCCACAGCCTGAAACACGGAGATAGCACACAGAGCACTACAAATATTTTGCCCAAGCTGGGGTTGGAGGGACCCAACTGGGGTCAATCATTGAGAACATTGGAACTGGAACACTTCATTCTGCACCAAAGCCATGCTCCAAAGATCAGCTGTGAGTTGACTGCTTTAATGAAGTAAAGCTGTTTTCACCCACCGTGGGGTATTTATTACCATGGGCACAGAGAACTCAAACGACAACCCAAAGCATTTAATCAGTACTGGAAGCCAAAAGATGAATGGTTCTCAACTTACAAGGCAGTCACCCTGACTATTGAAAAGGATGAGCTGCATATGAATTGTGTTCAGAATGATTGATGTGCAGGAAGGGCAGACTGAGCTAACTCGTATTTTCTCATTAAATAAATAGCTGCAAAGCACACAGCTTTGCTGAACACATCTTCCAGCACATCCTTTATTTCCTCTTCTGGAGGCTCTGAGAGCACCTCCAGCAGGTGCACAACCTCCAGCAAAGCATCATTTCACAGCTCACAGTTACAAAAAGTAACAGCCAGGTTTAAGGAAGACCAAAAGCACAGTGGGGAGCAGAGAACCAAAGCTTGACTGAGGTAGGGTGAGTGGAGGGGATGTTTACAGATCTCTGACTATTAATATTCTGTTTCACACCGATCTCACAATTGTAAGGTCAGATTTTAACTATCTGACAGAATCAAGAGGCAAAACACTGAAAAAGGTAATCTTGTGTATCTTACACACTTGTGTATCTTACACATCCAAAACATTATGGAGTGCCCCAGAAAACCTCCATTTTATCCTTCTGCTTTCCAAGCAAAGACAATTCCAGTGGACATTGCCTTATGAGCATCCAAGCAAGAGATCACTCTGGGCAATATTAATCTGACTTGCCATATGTTTCAGTAAGCTGGGCACTTTCACCTGTCGAGACAGATGGCACTTAGACCAAGTCATTTAAAAATACTATGCAAAGGAATGCTAAAAGATGCTGAGGTCATCACCTACTGCAATAAATGGCACAGATCCAGCAGCAGCAGTCATGCACATGAAATAATCAAGCCCCTGTGCAACTGTTATCTTCAGAAAAGATTGGGCATGCAGTTCATCATTTAAATACATGGACAGGTAATTTTTCCTCTGGGTTAACTTAAGTAAAATAGGCTTCTAGGATAGAAAAGCTGTGTGCCCATTACACCTAGCTTTTAAAATTATTTTTTCTTCTCTTTTCTTTTTTCTTTCTTCATAGAAGTACCGACTTTACTTTGCTCTGACTGGAAGATTCAGCAATAGCCTTCGCTCCCCCAAGCTGCTCGCAACAAATCTTTTCTATTTTCACAGTTCTGAATCACCAGGCAACATGGAGCTTTAAGGAATGCAAATGCTGCAGAGCATACTTGATACTCTAATACAACTATGCAGATTACGATGAAGCAAATCACACTTACGCAGATATTCCCATCACAGCCATTCCTGTCTCACAAATGAAACACCACGAGCACCCAAAAACCCAGCAATGCTTCAGTGCCATTAAGATTCCAAAGCACTGAAGAAGTTCTAAATATCATTAAGCTCTGTAAGAACTTAACTAGAAAAACACAAAGTGGAATTTAGCCTTCCCTGTGATAATAAATCCGATATTCCAGATTTTATCAGACTTGTATCAAGCTTGATTCACTTCAATGCCAAAGAAAGAAAGAATTCTGCTGGAGGTGCACAGCTAGTACAGACACAGATGCTAAGGAAGACAAAAAGTGCTGCAGAAGCCTCACTGACTGGGGCCAACACAAGAGCATGGAGTCAAATACACCGAGGGGATATGAGACTAAGGAGAGAAAAAGAGAAGCATTCAAGGCCAGGCTGGTGAGCAACCTGGGCTTTAGGGAGGTATCCCTGCCTATAGCAGGGGGATTGGAACTAGATGATTTAAAGGTCCCTTCCAACCATTGTATGACTCTATGAAAACATATAGCAGAGGTCTTTGCAAACAACAAAAAACTGATTCCTATGTTGTTAGTGAAGAGCAGAAGTAGCACATGCTGTGAACACACAGCAGAGAGGAAAAAAAGAGTCCATTTGCCTATTAATACTCATCTTAAATTGCCATTGTGAGAAGAGCAGGTTGGCCAAAAACAAAGAGTTGGGGTAAGTGGGCATTGCTAGAGACAAACATTCAGGAAGCAGAGAGAGAAAGGTTCCAACACCCACACGACCAGTGGGTTCCCTTGGTTTGTTAACAGCACACCAAGCCGGGTGCTAAGGAGATGCAAGGCTTTCACACTTCCAGTTGCAGTAGCCAAAATGAAATAACAGCTTACAACAACACAACAAAACCCAGCAGAAGTACGAGCATTATGCTCATGTATAGATTTGCCCCAAAGGAACAAACTGTTAACAGTGTAAATGTCACCGTGCCTTCAAGCTCTACACGTATAAGCAATTTTATTTCTGTGGATCACTGTGCTGGGGAGTGTGACACTCAGCAACCGTGTTCAAGAAGAATGAGGAAGAGCTGCAACATTGGAAAAGAGAAGAAAAATCATGAGAGCACATCATCATGTTGCTCTTAAGTCAATGCAAGCAATTTGTTAGTCTACAATGAACGGAAACCACTGCTCTAGGCAGGAGGTACCAACATAATGGTGTTGGGTTTCCTTCCAGATGCTTCACATCTACCTTGGACACGTGCAAACAGCACGTAAGAGGTTACAGACAACACAACAACCAATCTGCAGTCCTGCGATAAAGAACTCATTAAAATCAGACTCCTAACGACATCATTAAGTAAATACCTCAACAGCGCGTTGGTTACAGCGAGAAGAGCCTCCTGGATCTAAAGGTAAGCTAACACAGCTCTGCAGCTATCAAACACCTGTAATTCTGCCTACATCAGGACTGCAGATAATAAAAAAGATTTTTCTCTAAGGCTGTTCAGAGAATGATGCAAGGGATGCCATGGCTTTGGGGCGGAGCTCCATTCAGAAGCCAGAGGACACCAGCATGCTGTTTGTCTGGGATCTCTAAAGGGCACAGCCCACACCTCCACTGCACTCCATGTATTTGTCTGAGAACTATCAGCAGAGTAAAATAAATGTTTCTGCAAAAAGAGGAGTTAGCCAAGAAAGCTCTTTGGCACACAGAAAGACTACTGTGAGTGCCTGATGTCTGAGAGTCCCAGGAGGGTGAGTAACAGCAATACTTCTTCCTTTAAAGCAGATCTATAAGGAAATAAGAGGCTTCTCAATAATCTGCACTATCCAGTTTACCCAAAGAACGCAGTTAAAAACTTAAAATGAAAACAGCTCCTATCATCTAAATGAAGTGCAGCAGCTGGTTGCCTATTAGTAAGCATAAAACCAAAGCCAGGATGGCACCAAGAGCCACATAACGAAGTTTCTAGAGGCTCTCTTGTCCACGGTTGGGAAAGTTCCTGGATAGATTGACCCTCCTGTGTAATTGCTCCCTATTACCCATAGGAACAAAGTTAAATGAAAGGAGAGGGCAGGCCTTACTGTAAGTCATTATCAGTAACCACAGCTGTCAGAACAATTCCAGTAACTTACTAATGGCTCTATCGGCATCTCCTTGGACAGAGAACCAGCATTCAGTAGTAGGGCAGTTTTCACTATTTCCTCTGGTTTAAGAGATACAATTTAAATTATACCTTTAACCAAGGGGAAAAAAAAAAACACCCTCAAAACCAAGCAACACCTGTAAGAGCACAAAGCCTTCAGTGTCCAACACCAACGTGACAGAAGACACCAAGACAGCCTGTCAGCAGTGGTGTGTTGTGCACAACGATGAGACTGATGCACCAATTCCACGAAACACAAGCTGCTTACAACCAGTACTGTAACAAAAAAGATTGTGTCACTTCTCTACCTCAACCTTTTTTTCCCAAGGCTGGAAAAATTGTCCTACCACTCACACACCCATAATGGCAAAAAGGGAACGCCAAGAATGCCTTCCAAAGGACCTGGCCACACAACTTGGTATTTAATACCTCAACTGTCATCTTAATTTCCAGTGAAGATAGAAACAAAGTGAGAGTTATCCCTGAGATGACAACCCAGTTTTATTTTAGTACAAAGCCTAAAATACACATTGGGTTTCTGCCTCCTAACTCTGCTGTGGTTTTGAGGTTTTTTTGGTAGGTGTAGGAAGCTACACAGCCTGACCTGACCAGAGCACCTGAAGTTAGAACTACTTACCTGCTTCTTATGCTTCAGGAAAGGATTCCTGCAATTGTACAGTGAACTAAACAATGCATTTTAAACCTCAGCAGGTAGGAGGCAATGCTTTATGTCCAGTAACCCAGGCTGCTAAGACATCTGCAGTGACTTCTACACAGCAGTGAAGATGATGAGCACCTCATTCTGAAGCAGCAATAGAAATAATAAACTCAGCAACTATATTTACACAGTAATATAATTTTCCAAGAGATATAATATCTATTCCTGAAAAATAGAAATAATCATTGCTTAATGTATCCATACACACACATATATGCAAACCAACATATCTTCTGGTAATCACAACAGCAGGAGGGGTCCATTTCTCTGGAAGATGTTTGCTTCATAAAACATTTCTATAGGGAATATCTGCATTAGAATGCTTTCTAGAATGCT